CCCCATCACTCCGATTAGGATAAAGGGGATGACTTCACCAACCACCAGGCCATCTTACTGTCACTTCACGAGTTCAGCCAAGAAGTGTTTCCAGTTATATGCTCACTCGGCAAGCACGGGATGAGATCGGATTTAGGAAGTCACCCGTGTTAGCTTCGTAAGTCACAGCTCGGGGCTGAAGCAGAAAGAAATGTCTCGTTTTCCAGAAGTGAGATGGATAAAGTTTGAGTCAGGGACAACAAATAAACAACAAACCACAGTTGTAAGATTTATTTGTCATGTGATTTGTTTATGATATAAAAAATATAGTATATCATCAGACTTTATGCTTTGAATTTACTTAATTTACTTTACAGTATAGATGAAGATTTCAGTAAAAGCTATGAATGGAAAGCTGGAGCCCGCTGGTATATCTAAAATAGAAAAATAAATGCAAACATCAAGAAATGTTTGTTTTAAATCCTCTTATGTGTCAAAAATTCTGCCTTTTAAGTTGGTTTTAAGGTGTGGACCCAAATCACTGAAGCTTTTTTCACAGCAGGTACATTTGCTTGTCATACACAGGTGTATCTAATAACTTCAATCATGGCTGCATTCCATCAATTTAACGCAGCCTACATTGTCAGATGAGACCACAGACTGTGATAAGTCCTTGTGCTCGCAGTGATTCATGGCTGTGTAATATAGTGTAATAGTTAACTTAATGTTTATCTGAGTAAACATACACATGCGTACTTGTGAACTTTTTATAGAATATTCAAATAGATGAGAGTCACATCTTGCACACAGTATCAGCTTCTGTTTTTTTGTGTGTGTGTTTGGTTTATGAGTCACAGAAGCATGTGTTTTAAAGCATTAACCGCATCCTGCCAGAACTGCACAATGATCAGTCTTTCAGTCCATCTGTCTCTCTCTCAGTCTGTCCTGTCTGTGGCTCTTTCTCTCCCCATTCCTTCCTTTCCATGTGTTTCTCACACACATGGCTGAGGGGCAGAGGAGCAGCCAACAATAGTGAATCGACCAGCAATTAATTTGGCTTGTTGACATACTATCTGTGTTATCACATGAGCCAGTTGTCAGCTTCAAGCACCAGCAGACAGAATCCAAGGTCCTGCTGCTGCCGCATTCACATGGGAATCCAAATCATCAGCCGTGGTCTTTTTAACATTTGACTACATTCCATTAGTCTTTGACTTATATATGTGGGTTAAATTGTATTTGAAGCAATTTAAAATAAATTATGACCATATTACAGTATTATTATTATTAAATGATATGTGTATTACAAAAACAAATAGAGAGAAGAAGGTCTGGCATTTTGGACTGACGAGAAGAACTGATATTGGTCTCATTCCTGGACATTATTATGAGTATTTATGATTATTTATTCCTTCTGCCACCCCCGCTGTCCAAGAAGGACTGCCTCTTCTGACCTTTCTCTATGTTTTTTCTCATGTTCTAACTTGACACAGGTGCATTCACTTGTTGCCTGACTAGACTTCCTCTCTGGACCTTGACGGCAGACTGAGCTGATTGACAGCTTCCTCACTCTGTTCATTTTGTTGCACGTTAATGGCTGGTCATTAGTGGCTGGCTAACTGTTATAACCAACTGCAGAATATGCTGTATGTCTGTGGTGTCTGTGGGCTTTAAGAGGTTTTATACCTTAAAACATGTCACCACACCAGTTCTACGGTAATATGATAGCCTCCTCCATTTTGGACTGTTTGGCCAGCAGAAAGTCAGATAAAAGTGTGCAAACTCTGCAGAGTTTACTTTGCCTCCCCAAGCAACTAATTTAGGCCTCAGATTTCCCTGTTATAAATGCAG